CCTACAAAGCTGTTCTTTCAGTATATTCTATACATCAGTGTCGTTAGTTGCTGGGGAAATTTTTGTGCCAGCAGATTGCTTCGTTTTGGAGATAAAGCGTTTTGAAATTTGAGACGGCCTGGCTCAACGTGACCTGAAAATGTTACACAAACCAATATTTTCGCACTTTTAAATACTTTTCTGATATGCTAATAAGTTAAAAATGACAACTAAAGCATTCAGAAGTGAAAACGTATGACTTCGGTAGCAAAATCATTTTATTCTCGCAGACATTTTTTGGCCGCCATATTGGTGGACCAAAGTGGTCCACCAATATGGCGGACTCATACTAAGTTCTGTAATTTTCCGAATATTGTTTTCCCAATAACTTCGTTGCATTGAACACTACCACATCAAAACTTGGGGAATATATTTATTTCCACCTACTCTACAACCTCTGAGTTTGTAGATGTTTTTGGTGCACGCAAAACGATCTTGTTATTTTGGTGAAAACGATCTATATTCCCTGATAAGACAGTCAATTATAGCTCAAAGTTATCTACTTGTCGCAACTTAACTCTCAGATCAGGTTTGTTCAGTTGTAATCGCGTCTACTTTGCTAATGGTCATTGCAACTTTGTCCGTTGCGAACTACTGTAGATCAAAAAGAAAATTTTATCACCAGCTTCCATTAAAAAACGTTAACTAGTGAAATGACTTCTGGAAATTTTTTATTATTATTATAGTTATTATTTTTTAGAAAAGCGGGGGGGCTCAAGGGGACAGGACAGGACAGGACACCAGAAGACCACGCCGTTTGAAGTCAAAGTGATGCAAATACGGGCTAACGATAAACAATTCAAGCAGTTTGATATGCGAGAGTACGGTGAGAAAAAAATCGCCGTCCGCACTTGTAAAACGGAACCGATGGCAGATATTTTGCAAAACAAACACAAATTCAGCTAGTACGGCCAAACTTTCTTATACTTCGTGTTTCAACACATGCAACCAAGAAATGCAAAATGAATTAAGACGGAGAGGGAACCAAAAGAACGGAAGGCAGGCAAGAAAGGATTGTAACTGGAGAAGAAGGAAAGAGGAAGCCGCTTAACCTATTCTTCTCCAGAATCGAAACCCTTCGTCTAACTCTTCTTCTCCATCCACTGGATGACGCTCCACATTCAGAACCCACTCGAGAGTGTTGAGCTGAATTTGGGCCTCACCCAGTGTCTCTTCTTCCCTCTCCGCCATATAATAAAATAAACCTATAAAAAACCCGACCAAAACTGAAAACAAAACCTAACAAACGAAAATAGCAAAAATATTAAATTCCTCCATTGTACTAAAAAAAGACAAGAAAATAAACATTACAGTTAATGAACATTGTAGTTATCCGTTTATATCTGCAAAGTGCGATAATCGTTATCCAATATGGCGTAAGGGGAGGGCGTAAGGGGAGGCCCCTAGTTATGCTTCTCGCTCGATGAACGAAGAGAAAAGAGGGACTGCTCGTAAGACCCGCTGTCACCTCAGTTTCATGTAGAGGCTGTTCATTTTGCATGAGCATTTAATATCCAGAAGTTATGGACTTCTACTCGTCTGGTATTATATGTGATACTGAAGATAGCTCCTATCGGGGAGTGGAGAAGACACGAGCCATTTTTATTTCGTGTTTTTTCTCTCTTTCGAGTTACTGTATTTTCAAGAGAAATCCGTACAATCGCCTGCTGTTTTACGCCGGTGAGAAAACAACACACACTCCACCATATAGCTAGTACAGAGCCCTTCAAAACATTTGAATGTAATACTGATGCATGTTTCTAATATTTCCTTGCAGTTTTCTTGGCCAATGAAGCAGAAGCTTTCAGTTTCTTGTCATTAGGCAGCGATAACGAAACCAGTAACAGAGAGACATTGTCGAGTTCATATACCAGCAGGTTGGAGGGGGAAATGGAGAGACGTGCCTGCGAAATCTGAGCATAGGGGAAGCGACAATAGAAAAACGTGGACGAGGATTACAGTAAAGTGGCAGAAAAGTTCTATCAGGGGCTTTTAACATGGATGAGAAGTCGTGGTACTCAGAGAGCTACAACCAAAAAGCTGTGCGAGGCTTTGCATCTCGCAGGTTGTTCAGAAGCGTTGGAGAAGTTATCGAGAGAAGGTATGTCAAATAACTGGGAGCACATTAAAATTGAAAATCGCCTAGAATATACAATCAAGTTTTGTAGCCTCAGATTCCGACGGTTGTGATTTATATTTGTTTTATTTATTTATTTTCTATGTTTTGTTTTCATGTAATATGGCTTAAGCCAGGTTTCCATATGATCGCAACGATCGCAACGGTTACGATCATATGGAAAACCAGGCTTAAGAGGTAATCTTGTAGATTGGCTGATATTTCGCGGGAATTTTATTGAAAGTAAAGACAACGGATTATACAATTGCTCTAATATATAATTACGCTCTTATTTTCCCACTTCTCAAGATAAAACTCAGAATCAATGTTATTGTTTATCATTTCAATAATAGCTGTTGTTTGATTTTTCAGTAGAGATGAAATTCTCAGCTGATGAGGACGACATTTTCATCGATTCTGTGGGTTCGGTTTTGCCATCTGTAGATCGACTGGGGAAATCAATCGGCCCATCTCTCACTCCGGCCATTCCTTCCGAACGCCAATCTCCGCCCAAAGTGCAGTGTACAAAAGGCAACAGAAAAGCCGGAATTCCACATCAACACGGGGAAAGCCGCCCAGAAACCGAGGAACATAACACAGAATTCCGTCGGCATAAAACCTCACAAAGTGGTAAGGATATGATTGTTTTATACTCCTTTCGGCTCTTTTTTGTGCCCGAGGGCTGTATCCAATAGCCCACAACACATTCATTAGAGACGAAAGCCGCTTTGATGGGTGACAATTTTTCGGTCAAGATACTAGCGGAAAAATGGCCGTGGGAATTACTGGGCGAGCGGCGCACTTTTTTCGCTTCTCGCTAACTTAGTTTATTATATGGCAAACTGGTCCACGTTAAAAGGAGCATTCTGATTGATTCCCTGAGAGGTCCGAATTTGTAATACGGACGCTAAGATGGGACCGCTCATGAACTCATTTCGCCGAATTTCTGTTATGAAACATTGAACAAAAGAAAACTGTTTTCTATTAGGTAGAACAATTGTGGTTAAACTTTTTAGGGTTTTCCAATACACACGACCTGATACGATCCGTAAATGGCATCAGTAAAACAATGTTCACGGATCGTACGGATGGGGAACTGCATCATATATATTAGTGAGACGTAGGGTGTAAAAACAAGTAGTCTGATCGTACCATTCGTACGGGTCGTGAAACAATGGCTTACAGATCGTACATTATGGTGAACTGCATGTTTATGGCCTCACGCTTTTTGAACGAAGAATATACATTGTGTAACATGTTTAGTCTCACTAATGATGTACAGTCCACCATCTGTACGATTCGCAAGCCATTGTTTCATGACCCACAATGATACAGGTCGTACCGATCGGACAACGTGTTTCTACACCCTCTGTGTCACTAATAGGAAACGCAGTTCACCGTCAGTAACGATCAGTTCAAGAGTATAACACGTGGATGGTTTCGGCATGCAAGGATGTTGAATGTTAGGCCCAGTTCAGACGCCCGTACTTCACATGAGCCGAATCGAATTGGATGAATTAAGTTCATGTGAGGTACGGCGTCTGAATCAATTCGGAACGGCTGAATCAATTCGGATCGGCTCAGCCGTTCTTCCCGCCTGGCTCAGCCGAGAATAACGGCTGTGGACCGGCTTTGATTCAGACGCAGAACTCACATGAGCCGAAACAAATGCATGAATTATTATAATGTCTTTTTCAATATAACAGCAATTTTTCCCTATTAATTTAAGTTTGGCTGAATTAAGCTCGGCGTCTGAATCAATTCAGTCGATCTAAATTAATTTGGGTCGGCCTAAATTCGAATTCGATTCGGCTCATGTGAAGTACGGCGTCTGAACTGGGCCTTACTGTAACAACGAATTTCCGATTATGGACTATCATCACCTACGGCCAAATTGAGCAAATTCAAATTCGATGAGTGCAGGAGAGTCGATGAGAATGCATGAGAGTTTTCAGGACAAACGAGATCAAGAGTTTGAACTCGCGGTTATCTTTCATCAGGCTTTAGCTGTTTTCCCCGATTTGTCAGGTTCCAGGTTAGTATCCGAATGCCTAAAGGACGAGTACTATTGATCCGAGCAGAAGAATAGAAACTAGAAACTGGAGTGGGAAAAAGAAAATGGTTGAGGGCGGGGGGGGGGGGGGGGGAGTTCATGCTATTCGAAACTTGCAGCTTCAGTGTGAGCTTTTAGACTGCCAGTAAGCTCCATAAATTCCCTTGCAGGAGTTCGAAGCTAAGTGTGATATGCCAGCTCCAAGGAACAAAACCAGTAGCACATACTCAGCCTTCTCGTCACTGGTTATTGACAGTTCTTACAGTGATGACCGCTGCTGCAGTCTCGTTAACAGCAGACATGGAGACATTTCAAAGAAACCAACTTGTATTGGGACATTTCATGGAATTCCAGGTGAGGTTTTGATGCCAAGCTAGTCATTATCTCGTTATTTGAAAAAATTGTACAAATGATAATCAGCGCCTAAAAAAAAATTATTATTTAGCGCGACGTTTCTTTCTTGATGCATAATCTCGCTTCTCGTTATGACTGGCTTAGCTCTCAATCGGAAATTAAAGAGGCGCGATGTGGTCTTAATTGCGTACAGGATACTTTACTCTCGTTTGTTGTTGTAATTTTGATTATTATACCGTAAAATCAATCCCGGTTATAACCCTCCCCCTCCCCGCTTTTTAGGCCCCCAGGATATAAGCCCCTGCACATTTTTCCTTATATCCTTACTAACGTCCTCACAGAACATTGTGCATGCAACTTCAAATAGAAAATAAGGATATGTATAATTAGTTAATAGGTCTTTGTATAACCTAGTTATATAGCCTAAGCTCCCACGAGTCTCCTGTAGCTCAGTGGTAGAGCGTCCGACCGGTGTACGGAAAGTCATACGTTCGACTATGGCTATCGGGGAGTGGAGAAGACACCAGCCATTTTATTCGTGTTTTTTTTCTCTCTTTCGAGTTACTGTATTTTCAAGAGAAATACGTACAATCGCCTGCTGTTTTACGCCGGTGAGAAACAACACACACCGCACCATATAGCTAGTACAGAGCCCTTCAAACATGATGAATGTAATACTGATGCATGTTTCCAATATTTCCTTGCAGTTTCCATGGCCAATGTATCAGAAGCATTCAGTTTCTCGTCATTAGGCAGCGATAACGAACCAGTAACAGTGAAACATTTTCGTTGCATAAACCACCAGGTTGGAGCGGAGAAATGGAGAGACGTGCTGCGAATCTGAGCATGGAGGAAGTGACTATAGAAAATGTGGACGCGGAAAAACAGTACAGTTGCAGAAAAGTTCTATCAGGGGCTTTTAACATGGATGAGAAGTCGTGGCACTCAGAGAGCTACAACCAAAAAGCTGTGCGAGGCTTTGCGTCTGGCAGGTTGTTCAGAAGCGTTTGAGAAGTTATCTAGAGAAGGTATGTCAAATAACTGTGAGCACATTACATGAAATCGCCTAGAAACAATGTACAATAGCAGTTATTACAGACGCGTCAGCGGTTTGACATGCAAACGAGGCGAAAGGGTCAATCTGGTATTGTTAGCCGTTTGACATGCAAACGAGGCGAAAGGGTCAATCTGGCATTGTATTCGGCCCATTAGCCTCATTTGTAGGCTCGATTAACAGACGCTGTTCGGGAAAATGAGCCAGAACGAAGACCGGACTCGAGAGAGCGTCGGAAATCGAGCCTAACTCGTTGCATACTTTTAAAAAACAAAAGATATTTGACTGTGGGCTCAACTGTAATAACTGCTATTAAGGTTTGTAGCCTTGTGATTTATATTCGTGAAATTTCGTTATTTTTCTATATTTAGTTTTCGTATAATATGGCTTAGAGGTAATCTTCTAGATTGGCTGATTTTTCGCGGAAATTTTATTGAAAGTAAAGATGACGGATAATACAATTACAATTAGTGTATAATTACGCTCTTATTTCCCCACTTCTCAAGATAAAACTCAGAGACGCAAAGGATAATGATGACTATAAGAATGAAATCATATATGTGAACTGCGGATATGAAATCAAATGAATAAGTGATTTATAGCAGTTATGATTGCAATTTTTTTGCAATTACAATGTAAGCCCTGAATTTGTTTTTCAGGATTAATAATTGCAACAATAGACAATATTCGTATTCTCACGGTTGGACTGGAACTAGCTTGAAATCGAGGCTCAAGTGGGGGAATATCATTAAAAATATTTGCATTTGAAAAGATTCCCCCGCATTAGCCTCGATTGCAAGCTAGTTGTCTAGTCCAACCGTGAGAATACGAATATTGTCTATTGCATTCATACCTGCGATGATCACTTATTCATATAATTTCATCAATATCCGCAGTTCACATATATGATTTCATTCATATATTCATCATCACATTTCTTTCCTATCACGGGTTTTATAAACTCACAATTGACCTGCTCCCAATGTGTGGCTTTATCGCTCAGTTGATAAAGCATCACACTAGTAACGCGGAGGTCATGTATTCAAAACCCGTTGAAGGCGGCCTGAATTAAAAATTACATTCATAACTGCGATGATCTCTTATTCATTTAATGAAATAATTATTGTTGTACCTCATGGCTCACCGTAGACTACGAGCGTGTCTATAGTCGTCAATTCTTTCACGGCCATTTTTTTCTCTTGTTTTTATGCTTTTCGCTCGATGAACTAAGAGAAAATAAGAACTGCTCGTAGTCTATCTACAATGATTTTCAAAAAGAGTTGAGATACTCTTCGTTAACAGGGCAACTTAAGACATTTTAACAATTATACCTTGTCTATCGAATTTCGCGGATCACCTCTAAACCGTTAAGCAACAACATTGAAGGGGGATCAGAATCAATGTTATTGTTTATTATTTCAATGAGGTCATGCTTTTTTAATAAAAATGCAATTTTGGGGAGAGTGTCTCAACAATTTTGCAAACCATTGTAGCCCGCTGGTACCTCATTTCATGTAGAGGCTGTTCATTTGCATGAGCGTTTAATATCCAGACGTTATGGACTTCTACTCGTCTGGAATTATATGTGATACTGAAGATGGCTTATCCTTATAGGCTGTATTGGCTATCGGGGAGCCAGGGGAGTGGCGAAGACACGAGCCATTTTTATTTCGTGTTTTTTCTCTCTTTCGAGTTACTGTATTTTTCAAGAGGAATCCGTACAATTGCCTGCTGTTTTACGCCGGTGAAAAACAACACACACCGCACCATATAGCTAATACTGAGTACTTGAAACATTATGAATGTAATACTGATGCATGTTTCTAAACTCTACTAATATTTCTTGCAGTTTTTTCTTGGCTAATGAAGCAGAAGCTTTCAGTTTCTCGTCATTAGGCAGCGATAACGAATCAGTAACAGAGAGACATTGTCTTTGCATAAGCCACCAGGTTGGAGGGAAATGGAAAGACGTGCTGCGAAATCTGAGCATAGAGGAAGTGGTTATTGAAAATGTGAAACGAGGATTACAATAAAGTTGCAGAAAAATTATATCAGGGGCTTTTAGCATGGAGTCGTGGCACTCAAAGAGCTACGACCAAAAAGCTGTGCGAGGCTTTGCATCTTGCAGGTTGTTCAGAAGCGTTGGAGAAGTTATCGAGAGAAGGTATGTTAAATAACTGGGAGCAGATTAATTGAAATCGCCTAGAAACAACCTCTGATTCGAATGTTTATGATTTATATCATGGAATGTTTCATTTTCAAGTAATATGGCTTTGCAGTAATCTTCTAGATTGGCTGATATTTCGCGGTAATTTTGTTGAAAGTAAAGACAACGGATTATATAATTACAATTAGTGTATAATTACATTTCCGCAGTTCATATATATATGATTTCATTCATATATTCATCATCAAATTACATTATACTTACGTATAATTATTTTGCCACTTTTCAAGATGCATGTTTTTAATATTTCCTTGCAGTTCCTTGGCCAATGTAACAGAAGCTTCCAGTTTCTCGTCATTAGGCAGCGATAACGAAACCCAGTAACAGAGAGGCATTGTCATTGCATATACCAGCAAGTTGGAGGGAAATGGAGAGACGTGCTGCGAAATCTGAGCTTAGAGGAAGTGGCTATTGAAAATGTGGACGAGGATTACAGTAAAGTTGGAGAAAAATTCCACCAGGGGCTTTTGGAATGGATGAGAAGTCGTGGCACTCAGAGAGCTACGACCAAAAACCTGTGCGAGGCTTTGCATCTCGCAGGTTGTTCAGAAGCGTTGGAGAAATTATCGAGAGAAGGTATGTCAAATAACTGTGAGCACATTAAATTGAAAACGCCTAGAAACGATGAACAGTTGAATCCCGATGGACTCGAATCTCAAGGGAAATCGAAAAGGTTCAAGTTATCGAGAGATGGCATCAATTCACTGGAAATTAGGGGATAAAGCAGTATTTCTTTACAATTAGAGGGTCCTGATGGGTTTTAACTGAGAGCTGAGAATTGGCCAAAATTCTAACTGTTAGCTGAGAAATTGCTAAAATTTTAATAACTCAGAAAATCCAGCACGAGAATATAAAATTGTATCCCCAAGCGGCCATGTTATGTTATGTTTATTATATCGATACTGATGAAAATGTCCAGATTAATACAGTTTTTTATTCATTTTCAAAACAGCGAAAAAGTGGTCACCTAAACTGAACCCAAGTTTGCAAAAAATGTCATCATGACACGCATAGACAAAGTACGTTTTATCCCAAGAAAATGTACAGTTTCTGTTCCAAAAAAGTCAAATTGAGCTTTAAAAATGTTAATAAAGAAAATAATAAACGGGAAGCTCTATTGTTATTGACTGATCATATCAGTAACCATGACGACATCAATATCCTCACATGTGAAAGATAACAGGTATTTCATCAGTATCTATATTATTAAGACGGATTATACAATTACAATTAGTATATAATTACGCTCTTATTTTGCCACTTTTTAAGCCGAAAAAAGGAACGCAAAAAGTATTTAATTCCTTATTGTTTCATGTCTCGTATTCGTCTGCCTGATTTTTTTTTTCGCGGGAATTTTGAAAGTAAAGGACGAGGGATGGGATTACGCCTCTTATGTTGCCCACTTTTCAAAAACGCAATCGCCACAGTCCAAAAACCCCAAAAAAAGTTTTTGATATTTTCCTCCCTGTTTTTAACCCCAGTTTTGCTCTCATTTTTTTTAAGAGTGTCAACTAGCGATGCTCCTGCTCCCATCCCTGAAAGCCACTGTAGACCTAGCCGGGACATATGTGTAAACAGTTCTACTGAGATAGCCATCACACTCGCCACTTGCAAGGTTGGCTACGGCTGGACTTACCAGACAGGTCTTCGCTTTGCGCGGCTTCCATAGCAACTAGTAGATGGCCAGATGAATAGACTAAGAGTGGATCTTCGCAGTTATGACCGAAAACATAATAAAGCTTCAATGGGATTGAGATTCCGATACCGAGACCCTGTTGATAACCGGAGACGATGAAATCTAACGGCTTCGTATTTTAGTTGGTAGGACATGTTGTAGCTGCAAGCAAGTCGACCCATTGAAGCCCCCCTTTCTTTCTGCGGATTTCTCTACGTCACAGCTTCGAAAAGATCCACTTCATTTTTCTCTTTTCCTTGGCGCAATTTATACATAGTTTAGACGTAAATGTTTAGAGCGACTTCTGATTACACAGAAACAACAGATTAATTTACATCCTAGGCTACTTAGATAGAGTACAAAAAAATGAGTGCCGATTTGAGACTAGAGTTTGAAAAAACGTAGAGTAATTTTTTTAGATATTTACTAAGCCTTTACATGTAATGCAAGGTTACTTGTTTAAAAGCATAAAAAGTGTCAGATATGATCAATTACAAAAACACTTTTTATCATTGATAAACTAAAAGGCATCCTCAGAGGTTTGAAAACGTAGAGGCTTTTTT